GAGATTCTGCCCCCCCCCCACTCGTCTAAGTTCCGAACCGATGGTCGTACGGAAAGACGGGGAAAACGGCAATCGAAAGCTCTCAACAAGGCGGATCTTAAGAGCCCAAATTTTAAGTCACAGTTAAGGCTATGTAAATCGTCACAGTGTGGGCTTTAGTGTCAAACATTGTGCTTTAGCTCACAGTGCAGTTGTGAGCTTTAAAGGGACCCTCCCACCTTCAAAAAAGTTAATGAATTGGCATGAAAGTGATGTCCCTTGGTTCAGAAAGAGCGAAAACGAATATCTACCAAATTTCACCGAAAAATATTCACTGGTTTTCAAGATATTAGGTTTTTACTTTTGTTTACTTTTTGGGATCTCCCTGTTACTAGCGACTTTATTTGGAAGCAATAATTTGGCAGCCTTAAAGAGCGGCAGACGTTGCGCGCAAAGCAGCGTATACCACCACGTGCTAACGATGGTTTTAGTCTAAGATTTAAAAATCGTTAGATCTCCGCTGACGTCACAAATTCTAAGGGGGCATACCAATGCACTAGCCCCTTAGAATCCGAAAACTGCAAGTTTGAAATTCCATATCTCCGAATTAAAGCATTTGTCGATGTTGTGAGTGCCCAAACCGGTATTTGCAGGCCATGGCCACCAATTTGGCTATCTCAACTCAAAACTTATATTAAGGTGGGAGTGTCCCTTTAAACGGACTCTTATTTTTAGCAGTAAAATAAAGCCAGTCTATACCAAAGCTCATGTTTTTGTAGCATCCTTGACGTCCAATTTTGCTTTGCAATTTGGACACTCTAGATGCTCCTCATTACGAATATCACAAAATTTAAGCTCGGCCCGCCATATTTACGAAGTTACGGAGGTTTGAATTTCAAGGTCATTTGGGTGAGCCCCTACGATTTCCGTCAAAATTTGTGTACGGACACTCCAGACGCTCCTCATTACGAATATCGCAAAATTTAAGCTCGGCCCGCCATATTTACGAAGTTACGGAGTCACAAAGTTACGGAATTTCAAGGTCATTCGGAGAGCCCCTCCGATTTTCGTCAAAATTTGTATGCGGACACATTACATGCTCCTCATTACGAATATCATAAAAGCTAAGCTCGGCCCGCACTATTTCAAAAGTTAGAGATGTTTGAATTTCAGTGAGTTTCAAACGTCAGTAACTTTTGAAATAGTGCGGGCCGAGCTTAGCTTTTATGATATTCGTAATGAGGAGCATGTAATGTGTCCGCATACAAATTTTGACGAAAATCGGAGGGGCTCTCCGAATGACCTTGAAATTCCGTAACTTTGTGACTCCGTAACTTCGTAAATATGGCGGGCCGATCTTAAATTTTGCGATATTCGTAATGAGGAGCGTCTGGAGTGTCCGTACACAAATTTTGACGGAAATCGTAGGGGCTCACCCAAATGACCTTGAAATTCAAACCTCCGTAACTTCGTAAATATGGCGGGCCGAGCTTAAATTTTGTGATATTCGTAATGAGGAGCATCTAGAGTGTCCGTACACAAATTTTGACGGAAATCGTAGGGGCTCTCCCGAATGACCTTGAAATTCAAACATCCGTAACTTCGTAAATATGGCGGGCCGAGCTTAGATTTTGGGTGCATCGTAATCAGGACGTTACGTACTATCCACTGACCAAGTTTGGTCCAAATCGTAGGGGCTCACCTGATTCCGAATCTTAGATTATAGATTAGGATTCACTTACATCTAACTTGACGACCGTGTGTGTTCCGATGTGTCACGGATTAGTTACTTTTACATGTGCACACATTCAGGATTTGCTGTCATCTCGAAAACGGCTGGTCGCTACTCGCTGAACCGATAATCATTTGGATTTATCACGATCAAAACAAGCCGGCTAGATGACAACCTCTACAAGTCAATTATTCAACCTTTAAAATGTGCATACACAACTGAAAAAAGTAAAATCTTGTACTGTAAAGTATTCTTTATTAAAAACACAAGTGAAAATGCAGACTCTTGCAATTACTCTGAGAACGGGAAGAGCAATAAATCATTGCCGGTAGCCGCTATAGTTTAGTTGCGGTGTCTTATTTCAAGCACATAATGAAACAGCCTCGTCATAATTGTAAACCCTATAAGAATTTACTCTTGTGCTCATTCAGTGAGTAAAGGAGCGAATATGGAGTTATGCTCACCAATCAGCGATTTTAACTTACATAATTTGAGCACAGTGAGCGGCTGGTCTTCTTTTTGAACAGCTTTTTTTCCTTTCATAGTTGTCATTGGGTTGTCAATGTCATGCAATACCTATATGCGAGAGTCGTACACTAATCAGAAAAGTCAATTAGGTCTTTGACAAATAGAATATTTATATAAATCATATCATATGTGATCTAGATCGATTGTTAACAGCAAGAAGGTCCCACTGTAAACCTATTTTTATATTGTTTGCATTGTGAGTAAACCTCAGATTTTGCTTCTATTTTTATTTCATCCGTTTAATTGCATTGGCATTGACTTTTATTCCATTTATTTGATTTTAGGTTTGATTGTATTTGTAACTTTGGTCAATTTAGGTAAGGTCAACTCACCTAGTAGGTTTCCCGCCTCAGCCATATGAATTCGACAGGTGGATGGAAGTGAAAGGGAAACCCATTTCGGATAGAGACGCGCCGGCTCAATACATTAGGTCAATATATTATACAGGTCAATATATAATAATAGGTCGTTTTATATTATCTGAGTCTGGTTGCTTTTTGCAGGATTTGGATGGTTGTGTTGAGCTTCAGTGCCTGCCCAGTGCCCTGGGGCCTGGGCCCAATCTTTTAATCGCTATGGAAATGATTTTGGAGTATTGGCATAAGTGCAGCTGCAGAAAGATGAAAAGGCTATTTTATTTAAAATGATTGAAAATGTTTTTTACCCACTGCAGTCCATTGTAATGCATATATTGACATTCCAATAATCTTAACAGCCATTGTGCAAGCATAATGTGTATTATAATAACTTATTATGAGTGAGTACATAGGCATAGGAATGGGGGGGGGTCATACTCATGACCCCCACTTTTCAGCCATTTTTTTAAGTAAAATATTTATTTTTTATTTAAATTTAAAACTAAGAGCAGGAAGTTGTTCAGCAAGGTGAGATGGGCACAAAACTGCAAAGAAATTTTCTTCATAGGGGTATTGGGGCTCCCACAAAGTGACATTGAAGTTTTGCTCCCCCCCACACTTTTTGTGAGGCTCCTATGCCCATTCAGATATGTAGATAATGTATGAAGACTCTCCATGACATGGATTTAGGATTATGTGGTTTCTACGTCATTGCAAAAGTGATGTATGAGTGAGTATAAAGTCAGGCTTCTCATTAAAATGGAAAAATCTCAGTATGAGCAGTAGGTACCTAGTCCCATCCCAGCGGCTAGCCTGTACCTAATGCTTCAGTTGTAAGAGGCTTAACCCTCGCCCGTATTGGTGTTTTTCCAGCCGCGAACGTATAAGGGGGGGGGGGGGTCCGTTGGACCCCCCTTGCCGTTTCGCTCCTGATCGAGCTAGAGCTTCGCGGAAAAAAACAAGCGTGTTGCCCGTGACGAGAGGAAGCCGATGATACCTAATTTTAAGGTCCTAGGTCATTGGTTGACCTTGCAGGTCAGGTCAATGACCCAAAAGTCAGAAAATCGGGACCTGTTAGAACGTCGTAAAGTGTGGCTGCTATGGGGTTTTCGGGGCGCTGATCACGAATATCATGTTAGTTTTGATCACAGATGGTGTCTTTATGCATTTAGTCTAGGTCGGGTCAGGTCAGGTCAGGTCAACCAGTAGGGGTCCTGCCGGGTATTCCTAGTAGGTGTCAACCGCCTCTGACAGCTTCGTAACATGTTACGAAGGCACCAAAACTACTTCGTAAATGTTCATATGGTTGCTAAATTCGAATTCAGCTCCAAAAACTGGCCTAGAAACATGTAAAACTCGAAAAAGTGAACCGAGGTCACCAAAGGTCAATGACCTGACCTGACCTTCAGGTGACCTTGACACCCACCCTAATGCATGGGGGCAACATCATATCACATGTTTGAACGCTTGAAACCACGAAAAGACTGCAAACGCGCGGCTAATGCGAGCCGACATACGCCGAATCGCGATTCCGGCCAAACATGGTCTCGAAAAGTAAGTCACAGGTCAAAGATCATTGGGGTCAGGGTCATGAAATTTTCAGGGTATGTGTAAAATTGATTAACGCGAGGGTACTGAAAGTTTCGTCGCGATCGGCCGCTTTTTACGTGAGTTATTCGCGAAAAACCATGGGGGGTCCGTTCGACCCCCCTATACGGGCGAGGGTTAAAACCTGCTGATGATCTTTTATAACCTAACATGACCTTTTTAGTGCCTGCTGGGCATCAGCTTCACCCTCTCCATTGCCTATGAGTGGAATGGCTATGTTTCTATAAATATTTTGTGGTTTGATGTGTTTGTTCAAATTAGCAGGCATTTGTACTTTTCCCCTTTCCTTACTATGGTGAAGTCACAAAATACTGACTTCAAGTCACAGATATTGATATGAAAAAATCTGAGAGATAGAAGTTGTTCGTATTGATAATTGATATCATCATGCAGTTCACTGAGTTTCAAAGTTTTACAAGATAAGCTGTAGGAGTAAGAAAATCCCAAAGTTTTTAGAGACATTGCTTCTTAATTTGACTTGGTGACCTGACACTAGGTGACCTTTTTTTTAGACAGTATTTCTTAACTTGACCTGGTGACCTGGGGTCAACAATTTTACACCATATAAAGTTAATGTATGCATTGCTTAGCTATGCCTTGTTTTGCTGCGCCATGGTTTTATTTACCATGCCTAAAAAAGCAAAAACCAGGAGTACCCAACCCCCAACCCCCAAACCGCCAACCGGCATAAAGTTAAGTGGTAATAGGTGAGACAATATTTGTTTTACTACAGGTGATGTTGTGTTTTCCATCTCTCACTGTCTCAGCATGTTTGACTGTGATGCCTGTCTCCACAGCCACGGCGGCCAGTGATGTCACTGCGCACATCTGTCGAGCTCGGTGACCCGGCGGACATGTGTCTGAAGCGCGAGCCGCCGCTGTCGCCGCCGGCCCAGCCACCGTTCTCTCGCTGCTCGTCGACCGGCTCTCTGACGGCCGCCGGCTCGTGCCACTCGGCGCCCGCTTCTGACGACGAGGACAGCGACAGTCGCACGCACACCCAGACATACAAGGAGAGGCGCCGAGAGGCACACACCTTCGCCGAGCAGAAGCGGCGCGACGCCATCAAGAAGGGTTACGACATGCTGCAGGAGCTGGTCCCCACATGTCACGCGCAGGAGGGCGCCGCCGGCACGCCCTACAAGATGAGCAAGGCTGCCGTGCTGCAGAAGTCGATCGAGTACACGCAGTACCTGCTCCAGCAGAAGCGCCGGCAGGAGGAGGAGCTGGCCAGTCTGCGCAAGGAGGTGGTGGCGCTGCAGATCCTCAAAGCTAACTACGACCAGGTGGTGAAGGCGCACCAGGCGCGGCCGGGCCCGCAGGACGCCCAGGTCTCGGACGAGGTCAAGTTCCAGGTGTTCCGCGCAGTCATCGACAGCCTCTTCCAGTCGTTCGAGGCCAGCGTGTCCACCAACAGCTTCGCCGAGCTCTCCGGCTCGATGATCGCCTGGATGGAGGAGGATGTCAAACCGCAGGTGCTGCGCGACACCTGCGTCCGCGTGCTCAGACAGATCAAGCCGAACCTCTAGCGGCCAGTGTGCCTTGGCGGTAAGCAGCATAACGCGTGAGTACTGCTGGTGCGTCTGCTGTTGTATTCTCAGTTTTAGTGGGAGGCTGTTCGAATCATGGATAAGCCATGCGAGTGGGTAGTTAGCTGTGGTATATCGTGTGCACCATGATACGGGTGCGAGCGGAGGTGCTGCCCTCGGCCCGGGAGGCCGGGCACCGCAGCGCCCTCTGCCCTTCCTTCACAAACCCGGTACGTGCCAGGAAATGTTATCGCACTCGTGTGTGCGGCACCTGTTTCAGCCGTCGATGATTTAAATGTGGTCTGAGGCACCGCTCAATGTAGCACCTGTGTGAGCTCCATACACTAAGCAGTAAGGTTTGTGCGGTAGGCTATAAAAGCAGCTCAGGTTTGTGCAATAGATCACTGCCTCCCTCTCTGTAAAAGTGCATATACGAAGCTCGCTCATCCTGCAGTCCACAAGGTTAGCAATGACCAAAGTGGATGAAGTCAGTGTAAACAGGACTTTACTGTCCCAAATGTTTTAAATTTCCAAAGCACCGAATTTCTAACGTGCGTAATAAGTTTTTACGTTCACCCGGAATTAAACGAAACTCGTTATACATAGGACATCAGACGAGCTTTGGCTCAGCTTTTCAAGACGCTACAGTTCGTATGGTTAGATAATCAAGTTAGCATTATGACCTGTCTGAGGAATAGAGGCTATTTTTGATCTTATGCAGGGTCCCAGAGATCGCACATAACTAATTAGAAGTGTACGCTTTAGTCAGTGACGAAAAGTAGCTGCAAAGTATGACTGTTGAGTAACAATCACAGCTTTTCGATTGTGGATTTGTGTACCTGAACAATGGGTGGACACTTGTTATCAACAAAATTAAGTTTTTCCTTTGCTTGGCATAGGTCAGCGATTTATTATATTGGCTGTTTTCAGCAGTGCCTACAAATATGGCCATTATGAGGTTAACATTTCCTAATTATTTTCTAAATATAGGACTTATGCCTTATTTGGTAATGATTCGGAATCTATATCGACCTTATGTATTACGAGCGTCCTTTTTGGCTGTTATAACCATGGTGGCTATGCTGTTTATTCTCGGTCCAATGGCCAACCAGTAGCTCATAAAGTGCAGGAGTTGTTACCAGCTGAGGAGTGTGAGTGTATTTGTAATTCTGTTTGTCGAGTTTGTGCAATGGTACAGTGTTTTGTGAGTGGTGTGTATCGGGAAACTTCTTATTTTCTCCTCTTTTCTCGACAATTTCTCTGAATGAGTTTTTTATTACAACACTAACGCTGCCTTATCTCGGCTAGGCGCTGCAGAGGTGTGTTGTACGGATTATTGTCCATTAGATGTACTGTGGTGGGTAAAAATATATGGCTATCCTCAGTTAGTTTCTTATAAATCGAATGGAACACATAACACTAATGTGGATGGATGAAGGGTGACTGAAACAAGTCGCGTACGGTTCCGATGCACTGTGTACGTGAACTCCATTATGGGGTCGGATCTATATACTGTATTGTATGTATTGGAGCTGCCTTGGTTCCACGAGTATAGTAGTTACTGGTATCAAGGCTGCGCAGTGCGCGTGTATAGTTGAAAGCAAAAATCCATTACCCGTTCCATCTAGCCGAGGATTTTCAAAATCTGGTCACGCGCTTCAGATCTCAGCTGCACTGGTTGCATTTAGCTTTTGTATTCCTTTTACATAGTCGGTCTACTCAGAAAACTAATCAAAGGTTCTGCTTTACCTACGCATTACAATTCTTTGAGCGTTTGCATTCCGATATATCATCTCCGATGCCTCCACACCGCCATGGTGAGGGTAATCTCCGCACTGGGAGACCCGTGCCGCCGAGTCGGCGCCCTCTCAAAGTCGGAGTAACGCGGACAGCAGCGGCCGTACGTCAGAGGCGTCTCATAATTCGGCTGACGCGCGGCTCCGAGGCGTAGGGCACGTTCTGGGAGCGATGACATATCTGTGTCGTTAAGTCTGAGCGACTGTGGCGCTCAGCGGCCGACCGTGCCGACTCAGAGACACCGCGCCGGCGGGACGATTGAGACGCCTCTGTGACCACCGCGCGCCGTGACTTCTAATAGCGGCCTGTTGCAACGCTGAGAGCTGGACTCACGTCAGGACTTATTTAAAGCTGAAAAAGCTTTTCAACCTGAGTCTGGACTTGAATATCTGATTTTACGATCTGTTGCTTGTCATTGGGCTCCCATTATGTATATGCTCTCATCTGCCCCCACATTTCTTAGCTCACTCTGCCAATGCCGAGATGTTCCCCCATCTGTACTACCTGCCGTCCAGCCTCGATCTGCGTCCGTCCATGTTCGGTGGTCAGAGTACGCCGGGACGTTCGATGTCACGTCGCTGATATCATCGGTCGGGGTTTACGGCGCTGTGCCTCGTCGATGTCATTGTGTCGCCACCGTCCCAGCGACAGTGGATCACGTGCCCCGGGCGGCGGGCATCCCAACGCCGCGGGGAGGCGCTCGGCAAGGGGGGAGGGGGGAGGGCTATCTGGGGAACAGGGGCAAGTCGACAACGAATTGAGGAGAGTACGGGGTCATGTGATGGAGGGCAGCTGAGCCGGGTTGAGGGAGTCGGATCTGAATCATGTTGAGAGGGTTTGAATTAAACTGAGGGGTCAGATCTTGTTTGGGAATCGGATTATGCTGGTGAAAGGGAATCAGGATCTTTGGTAATATAAGGGCTCAGGGACGGATAATATCTGACTGATAACCAGTTATTATTGATAAGAAAAAGTGCAGTGATGATTTCTCGAATGTATTATGTAGCCAAAGGATTTCCTTGTCAGTCTGAAAATGGCTTTCTCACTCCATAACTGGCTGGTCTCGTGAGCTGTGATCGATGCGGGGCTAATTTGAAACAGGAGTCACCTAGACGCACGATCGTGCGTGACCTAAAAGGTATAATGGCGTTCAGTTTGAATATGTCGGATCAGGATGGGAACGATACGTCAAGAGCTCTTTGTGGGTGCAAGAGACCTGAGAAGGCATTGTGCTAGAACAAAAAGGAGCGCACATAAAGAGCTGGTGACGCTGTCGTGTTGGCCAGATCAGCGTCTGATATCGCCGACGTACACGGCGCCTGCGATGATGAGCGGCGCTCAGGGCGATCACAATATTCCATCGGGCTGGGCGGGGCGCCCTGATGGAAGATGAGCAGCCCTGTTCTGGGCGCTGGTGCCCCGCCGCGCCGGACACTGGAGCGGGGCGGCGGCCGGCGCGGCGCAACGCTCTGTCGCGCTCTGTCGCGCGGTGTTTTATGGCGCCTCTCGGCCGGCTGATGCGCCACGTGCCGGCCACTGGTCCGCGGCACGGTCTCGCCCTCCGTCGGGCCGGCGGTCTGCAGGACACAGTGGCGGCACGCGCCGTTTTTACACGGCGCGCCGCCGTCGTGAGCGTCGCGCGTGTTTTTGGCAGGGCGCGCGCCGCTCTGATGGATCGCACTACCGCTGGTGCCGGTGCCGCCGCTCTCCGGGCCGGCCGCGATACTGCCGCTTCATCGGGATTAGGGGCGTGTGCCGGCTACTGGGATGGAGCGGCGTGCCGATCTAGGGTACCGCCACACGCACGGCGCCCAGGGCTACCGCAGGAGACCGGCGCCGGTCAGCGCGGGTCGCCGCACAGGTGCGGTCCAAACGTCTCGCTGCATCAGTAAACCTGGGCCAAAGGTCGGCTGAACCGGTGCGACAGCTCAGCGACCAACCAGCGGGGGACGGCCTAAATCAGGGCATTATCAGCGCCGCGACGGGCCCGGATGTGACTGAACTGACGGTGCATTCGGCCAATGGCTCTGCACTGCAGATGTGGTCCACCATTTGACTCAGAAGTTATCTGGTGTTTGGAGGGCTTCAGCTCAAAATACGAGTCGGTGCAGCCGCACAACTAGTTGAAACAATCTGAAAAAGTGTGTAGTTATTCCACTCCAATTTTGTATCAAGTGGGCCGGCCATTGCCACCTCCTCCATACAGCTTTCTCAGTTCCGCTCTGGTTCTACTTGCACGTGTTTTCTGCACTTCAGCGGCTGCTGAAGAACCGTGGACATTGAGAAGACCCGTGGACACCGGAAACACCCGACGCCCTCTCGGTCTATCTATCCGTCCGTCCGTCTGTCCGTTCTTCTATTTCTATCCGTCCGGTCGTCTCGTTTCGTCTCGTCTCGTCTGTCCGTCCGTATCGGCCGTGGCGATCGGCCGGGGCGGGATGGTGATACGGTCTGATTGGGTGCTCAGATGGCCCGATAGTGAACGCTCGCGCCGGCCGATCACGCTGCAACAAAGACCGGACAACGTGATGGTACAAAATCCGCCCCCCAGACGTCATTATACGCTGCAATAAATATAGTTATAAATCATGATGTTATGGGGTTGAAAAATTGCCTCCGTGTGCGGCGCGGGTAAGGTGATTGATAATGTTTGCGTTATTGATTTGGTGCCGTTACGTGCTCGTTGGGCAGACGGTTTGTACTTGCCGCCGAGCCGCGCGGCCACCGCGGGGGACAGTGCAACTGCAGAACACCGCTCTGCCGGCCGTTACTGTCCGCCGCGAGTTACGGGAGCAGTTTTTGTCCGCCGCCAATTGTAGACCACCGACAGATTGAAATCGATGGCGCTTTTAGCGCGGCTTCTGTTCGCTGCATTTAGTCGCCATTTTATGCGGCCGGTTTTCGCCGAACGCTGTTAAAAGGCGTTTCCAGGCGTCCGCTGCAGCTCAATCGTATCTGGGCCGCCAATCGCGCCTGTTCGGTGACCGCAGGTGGACAATCCGTCAAGGGGGGCATTTTTCTTGCAGCAGCGCGCCCCACGTCACGGAATCCTTGTAATGAGCCATTTTACAGCACTAATTTCGATTCTATCGAGTATCAGGCGCCTGCACGTGTAATGCATCTTTGAGACAATGTCTGCGCGATGGCGAACGGCGATATTTCTGGTTTTATCCGGCAGCTAGTGAGCGTCTTCTACGCCTTATCGATCTCCGCCTCTATCGATCTTTGTAAATGGCGGCTAAGATCGATCATCTGTCCATGCTGAAAGAGGTATTCCGCAACAATAAATCTTCGACAAGCAAGCTTATTAATTACTCAGCAACAGATATCTTTTCTGTTTAGTCCAGATTAGGAAACGCTGTAGTTGGCCGGCTTGTAACCAGTCAAGGAGCGACCAATCAACCTATCCGGAACCTGAGCTCGTCAAGGCCAGGACGACGTCGTGGTCCAGCAATCAGCCGGCGACGGGAGCGGTGGGCGTGCATCCTTCGATCGGCGACACCCACAGACCGACTGTGGGGCCCTGTCGGTGGCCATGGGTGCCCGGCCACGCCCTGCCGGCTGTCATCGGGTGCTGTCGGCACGTGCCGCCGCCGCCGCCGACTCCCCGTCGTCGCAGCGATGTACACCCATGCTGCGCCGCGAGGTGCCCGCAGTACCCTGCCGCGATCGGCCGCGCCGTGCTCCCCAGCTGGGCCATGACACGGCGACTCGTGCTTTGCCTGCCGGAGGAACCCCCATGACGTTCCGTGCTGCGCTTGTGCTATGCCACCACGGTTTCCCTTACCGGCGCGGTGGCCAGCGCTGTCCTGGGACGCCAAGCTCATGTGCTGCACTGCTATAACACCACGTGTTTCTGTTACCAGTGCCGTGGCCAGAGCCGCCCTGGTGCCGGGCTGCACTCCACCGTGGCCTAATGCGCTGTTATCTCTCGCGCCATTCAATGGTGTTGCAAGCGCGGCGGAAGCGCCATCATGGGTCCTCCTGCACTCCTTTCACCGTGACGTCACGTGTGCCGAAATCGTTTCCGTTTAAGCAACACAGACGGACCGTGCACTCATCCCGCGTCCTCGCTGGGCTCCTCTCGCCTCGGTTCGGGCGCCGGTCCTCGTGATGGAAGTGTTCGTGCGGCGGATGTCAGCTGTTTGTGCCTCTAACGGACGGCGCTCCATTCGGACTCGCCGGCAGGCGGCGCGCGGCAGGGGCGGCGGCGCACGCGCCCTATCGTCCGCCGTCGGTCACGACTCGATCGGCGGCGTTAATTGATTCGTCGGAGGAGCGTGCGCGCTGTCGACGCTTCCTCGACAGGGGAGCCGCGGACAGGTGGGCGCCGCCTCCCGGCGCACCGACCAGAGGTCGCCGGTGTCAGACTGACCCCGGGCTGGACCCGGCGCCCCGGTAATTGTATGACGCAATCAGGGGCCGGAGAAAAACGGCGCCGCTGGCTCGTGTGCCGGCTGTCATGGCGCCGCCGATGGCCGCAGCTGATGAATCGCGCTAGGGTCGTTACAGAGCTCGATAAATTTCATATTGGCTCGTGTTTAATTTTAGTGGGTGGAACTCATCAACTCCAGCTGGGTTAATCAA